CAGTTGGCCTCGGCCCATCGATCCAGCCTGTCCAGGTCCCTCTGCAGAGCCTTCCTACCCTCGAGCAGATCAACACTGCCGCCCAACTTGGTGTCGTCTGCAAACTTACTGAGGGAGCACTCGATCCCCTCATCCAGATCATTGATAAAGATATTGAACAAGACCGGCCCCAAAACTGAGCCCTGGGGAACACCGCTCGTGACCGGCCGCCAACTGGATTGAACTCCATTCACCACAACTCTCTGGGCCCGGCCGTCCAGCCAGTTTTTGACCCAGCGCAGAGTCCACCTGTCTAAGCCGTGAGCCGCCAGCTTCTCTAGGAGAATGCTGTGGGAGATGGTATCAAAGGCCTTACTGAAGTCCAGGTAGACCACATCCACAGCCTTTCCCTCATCCATTAGGCGGGTCACCTGGTCATAGAAGGAGATCAGGTTGGTCAAGCAGGACCTGCCTCTCAGGAACCCGTGCTGGCTGGGCCTGGATCCATGCTGCCTGGGCCTGCAGTAGCTTTGGTTTTTTTTCTTTACTGGGGGGCTGGTTTGGGCTTTTTTTTTTCGTATTTGTTTTCAGTAGAAGAGACCTCCTTCCACTGATCTAGTTTGAGCATACTGGAGTTGTTATGTCAGTTTGAAAATTTTGTTTCCCTGCCTACATTTTGCTTCATACCAATTTGCTATCCTTTTCATTCTGCAACGTGTGATGACATCCAAGGCAGCCGAAAGATGACAATAAAGGTTGGTTAAGCCAATGGCTTGGAAACCAGGCCAAGGAGAGCAGGAAGAGATTTTGTTCAAATATAAATCCAGAACATGAATCTGCCAATCAACTGAATACTATCCTTTAAAAGCAGCTGAAATAATGCAAGTGCACGAAAATTTTAACAAATCACATCAAACATCATGGTTAGAATGCACTTGTGGCAAAATAATTCACAGTTGCCTCTATATTTTGATAGGCAAACGTTATCAGTCTAAGCGTAAAGTATTTGATTCTCACTCACACTACAACTCACAAGAAGACATGAGTGGCACTTGCACAACATGTAAAGTGGTAGTTAGGGGTCAACAATGAGCAAGAAGGAGTTTATAGCAATGTAAGCAAAAGAAAAAAGAAGACTCAAGAAGCAGAGAATCCCTACTCTGATAAACACAAAGCCTAGGCTCTGTGAGATGTGAGATACCTAAGGTAGGGTGTTGAAATTACATCATATTTTTAGTGCTTTCCATAGGTATCCATGTGTTTCCCATAAAAATAACAATAAAAACAATATTGTGAAAAGGCATGGGGTGGTAAGATCAGCCTTTTGAACTAGATAGATGGATAAAGCTGTCAATATCTAAAGATACAGGCTTTAGAAAAGGATAGGAGGGAATGGGGTTGGAAAGGAGAAGGGACCTTATTGCCATGATTACCCAGCCTCCCCAGCAGCTGTGTGTGATGCTGGCTGGGGAGCAGATGCAGACCACCATGGACACCCTCCTGGGGGGTCACGGAGCAAGGAAGGAGCCGGGTGAGGCACAGTGCCTGAGAACATACAGTCAGCATCATCTGTGCAAGTCTCATGCTCCATGCCTGAGACCTGAGTTGCCTTTTTTATCGCCCCAGGAGACTTCCCTGAACCTTTTCCAGATAAAATGTTTGTCTGGTGTCTGCATCCATGTCTGCTTTTGCCCTTGTTTGAACTGGGATTATTTAAAAAAAAAGGTTGAAATAACTTACACTGACGAGACACTGGTCTCTGTAATTGTGCCAACATATGCAGAATAGAAACGTGAGAAAGTGGGAGGAACTTAATGCATAATGTAGAATTATGGCTGGTACTGTCTAGAAGCTACAGCAAAAATGCATGCAGTTTTAAAGGTGATAAGAAAAACTGTTTTGAGAAATGAGATAAAGTTACAGTTAAATTGGGTGCTGAAAGCCCCTGGAGTGCAAGAGGCAGGAGGCCTCCTGTACACACAGGGAGCTAAAACCCACTGCAAAATGGGACCACAGCTTTGATGCTTAACATCAGGTCTCTGAACCTCTGAACATCTCTTGGAAGAACTCAGCACTCATAGTGCCTGTTGAAAGGCATTCAGACACCACAGTGACAAGTACAGTACTGAAAATCTAACTAGCTGGAGTCATAAAAGTGAGAGTCAGGGTGAACCCCTCCTGTTATTTACTCCTGTAGCAACCCTCCCATTGAGTTTGATGGCCTGGATTTCACCTCAGCTTCCTAACGTGAAGCAACGTTTTCCTCGAAACAGCTGTCAGCTAAGCAGCCCAGCCCTCCCAGCCCCCTGGCTCTTGATTTCTGAGGCAGTCCGTTCACGTAAAGTTTCCTGCAGCCTTTAAATGTCCGACCTCTGAATGCATTTTGACCCTACATAAAAAGCAGGGGGGTTATTCCGACTAAAGCGCTGCCTGTAGACAAGATGTGATCACAAATCCCCTTTGCAGCCTCCGACACCCTGCTGATGCTGGCTGACATTTTAATTGAGCACAGGGAACCGATGCCTTCACAAGGACTGACGCAACGGTCCTGCAGGGAGCACGATGGGAGCCCACCCCTCTGCAAAACCAAGGAATGCAGAATCTAGGTAAGACCACGTTCCCTTTTAATGAGTTCCCCTGTGAACAGCAGGTGAGCCTAATATTTTCTAGGATAAAAGACGGAAATTTCAGTCCATTTGTCACCACTTGAGAGTAACTGAGAAAATCCTTCAACGGCCCGGACACCCATTGCCTCACGCAGCAATTCTCCCGGCACCCGTCAGGCTCTCTCCACCGCAGAAGAACAGGCACAAAGTGCCAAGTTCATCACTAAGGCACCTGCTTTTAGTTTGTTCAATGCAAAAACAAACAAACAAACAAACAAACCCTCATAGCATCAGGATTCTGTAGCCAACCAAGACCTCAAAACCACGGGCATCTTGGGTCTCACATCGAACG